AATATTAACAAAGTTCTGAAAGACTCATCTATTCTCCATCTTCTATTTGATTGAGAGACAGACCTTTTGCAACAATAATCCTCCAAAGTGATATTATTAGGAGCAGTTTTGATTCTCTTAGAGATAGCCACCCCATCTCATCCAGTGATAACATGGACCAACATGTTGTTTAATTCTACTTTTAAACTTTTTCAATAGATACCATTTCAATGTATACAAGAGCAGTGGATTGGAAAATTAGACCCCGCTGATGATAAACAGTGACAACCTACACCAGTTGAGTGTCTTGATAAATGGAGACAACCTACACCAGTCACCCCAACCAAAGTATAATACAACCCTTTGGAAGGAAGTATGGAGCATCCTCAAAGAACTCAAACAAGACCTCCCATTTGACCATGCAATCCCAGTTATTGGGCATCTACCCAGAAGAAAATAAATCATTTCATCACAAGGACATTTGCACTAGGCTGTTTATTGCAACCCAATTTACAATTGCCAAATTGTGAAACAACCTAAATGCCCGCCAATCCAGAAATGGATTAACAAGCTGTGGTACATGTATACTATGGAATACTATTCAGCCACTACAAAAGATGGAGACTTTACATCTTTTGTATTAACCTGGAAGGAGTTGAAATACATTTTTCTTTGTAAAGCATCACAAGATTGGAGAAACAAGAATCCAAATGTATTCAATTCTGATATGAGGACAATTGATGACCTAGTACATGGTGGGGAGGAAAAGGGTAATGTGGAGAGAGTGAAGGAGGGAGAGAGGAGGGGGTCACAGTGTGTGACACAGCTCTTGGAGGTAGGGCACAATTATACAAAGGACTTTACCGAACAAATGCAGTCAGTGTAACCTGGTTCTCTGTCCCCTCAATGAGTCCTCAGCAATTGAAAAAAAATAAAAATGACTAATTCCAGATGCCTTTTTTTCCCTCCAATTCCTCTCCCATTTCAAATGTTCTCCAGATCCTAGAAATTTTAAATACTTAAATAGCTTAGATCTCCACTCTTCTCTCCATTTTCGCTAATTCTCAGTTTAGGCCTTACCATGTTTCCCCCAAACTACTGACATTGCCTCATAATTGGTCCAAACCATCTTCCATAGCATTACTCAATTTTCAAAACCTCAACTGGGAGACTTTCTGTTGAAACTTGCCAACAGCCTCCCTGTTCTCTGTTGAGTAAATGCTTTTCTCCTCTGTAAGGCATAAAAGGCCACTCAACATCTAGTTGTTTATGTTTCCCTCCTCATCCACTGTAAGTATCAGTAATAATAATCCATATGAATCCCCGAGAACATCCCTCAGTCTTGTCCACACGCAGCTTCTTAGCTTCTCCCAATCCTAGCGCCCCATGAATGATCACTGCCCATCAGTTTACTAGTCAGGCAGTTGGTGGTGAGGTTATTAATTACACCAGCGTGTTGGTATAGTTATTTCTTTCCTGGTGAGGACCTCTAGTGAAAAACAATTTTACATTTCTCCAAAAATTATTGCATGATGTCTTTCTTACTCAGAGACTTAGGACCTTGTTTATAGGTCTAATAGCCAAGCAACTCACAGCAGATAAATATATTCTGTCCATTGGTGTCAATTTTAAATTGACCCTAAATCAGAGGCTGATCACACTTTATTTCTCTCCTCCAGAAACAAGAATGTTACAAAAGTTGTTAAGTAGACAAACATATAGTAAAGGGGTAATGCAAGTGTGGTTAGCAGGAAGTCCCATGTCATTTGTCAAACAATTTTATGTCCAAACAGAAGCATCCTCTAATATATATTGTAGACTCTTCCCCACTGATAAGAGTTCTGTCAACATTTCTTCTTTCTTTCCTTTTTTATATGTAATTTTATCTGTATCCTGGTTCCCTGATCACTGAAACTAGTGATTGTGCCTCATTTTTTCAGTCTTGGATGCAAAGGCTTTTAGTAAATATTTAACTTATTTTGCCCCAGTGTGAGTTCTGGTACATTTCATTTAACTGTCATAAGAATAATTCTTTATCAGAAAAAAAAATTAAGCTATAAATATGATTAGGGAATATTGAAGAGGAATTCTGAAGCCTTCAGATTCCTCAGGGTAGTGTGGATGGTGAAGGAAAGCCCAGTAAGCCCGCATTGGGAACTCTCACTTAAATTTCTACCAGAGCAGCTCCACTTTGTAATGGTACATTAATTTATCTAGTTATAGCATTTTCTTTGAAGCATAGGATACATTTTAAATCAGGCACACATTACCATCAAAAACCTTGGAAGTGATGATTGTATTAGCACTCTCACCTCTAAAATGTTCTGATTCAACAGCAGTTTCGTTTAAATAAACAAGAGTATTGTTTCCATTGAGATTAAATTAGATTTTATTAATCTGAGGTGTCTTTAAATTTGCTTGGAGCAAAATTGTGTTCTCCTTTTACTAAACTTAATGCAATTCAGTACTTCCTGTGCTATCTTTGTCATCGGTAGAAATCACAGATATTTTTATATGATGACAATGCATTTGCTTCTCAAATTAGTATCTATGATCATTACTACACTGAAATTAGAGTATTTTTAGAGCCATTTAGACATTGATATTTACTCCCTTAATAAAGAAATTCATGTATTACTTTATCAAACTTTATTTTAAAAATATTTTTATAACTGTATTTTAATATTAATTTCCTTTCTAACTTTTAAAAAAAAATTATGCCTTTAAAATGCTATTCAGAGGAGGGGTCTATACAGAAAGGGACTGGTGGCATAATGAATGTGCGTTTGACAGTAACACAGCTGATAATTAATATTCTGCATGGCATATGCAGCTATATGACCACTGGTGCTTTCTACACCTGTAAGCTGTAGTCCCCAGCCATTGCACCTGTCTGGCAAAGATTATTATCATTCACGCTGTGTCTTCCATACAGGTTCCATGTATCTCTACAGGCTAGAAAGTCACATTATATAATTTCCCTTGAATATAAAACTTTGTTCTGTTACTGATTTTTCTTTGTTTTATAAGTGAATTTTGATGTAATTGCTCTATTTAAACTCAGAATTTGCATGCTGTACTGAACATGTTTTTTCTGGCCCAAGATCTCTTTATCTGCTTTTTCTAATACTGTGATTTTCCTTGGCAATGCAGCTTTTCTACACCATCAGGCCCTGCGCTATGAACAGGGCTGACTGCACCTACAACCTTCATCTATCCTGCCAGACATGGGATTGGTTCCCTTGGGCAAGATAAATGGGCACTTAACACAGCTAGAATTGAGGCAACTTAATTCTGCAGTTTTGGTAGGTAAAGAGTTACTTTTCTCTCTCTCATTTCTAAGAAAGATACTTGCCCAGATCTTGCAAAACATCTTCCCACCAAAAGAAAAGACTGTCTGGGAATGGAGTTGTTATGAGGAACGTAGCTAAGAAAAGGAGAAAGAAAGCAACTCGAGCCCTTGGGAAACATCCTCCTGAAGAAATGATTTACAACAGGACTGAAATTAATTCTTCCCCTGGACTCTTCAACAATGAAAGTTACCAACTCTGTCTCACGTAAGTCATTTTAAGTTGGCTTATGTCAGAAAGAACAATTATCTTGGTAGGGATTATACAACAAATTGAGTAATTAAGGTCTTAAGATCAAACTAATTTTGTGATATAATTATTTTGTTAAATAATAATTAGGTCTATGGGTACAATGTGACCATTTATTGATCTTTGTGTTATAATCCTTTGTATATACTTCATATTATAGCAAATCTGGAAACAAACCTATTTTATAGGAGAGTGAATAATTTATGATGTTATTTTTCTAGATCTATAGAAGAAAATTTTTGGTTTGTTGGACTCCACAGTCTTTGAATTTTCTATTATGTATTCTGAGAACAAAATACAATAGAACCTCTGTAAGTTGACCACCTCAGGGACTGTTACAACAGATGGAGGTGGTCAACATAAAGAACTAGGCCTATTGTTCTGAAACATACATGTGGTGCATATCCAGTCAAGAAAAATTAGGTCAACTTAACAGAGGTGGTCAATGAAAGGAGGTGGTCAGCTCTGGAGGTTCAATTGTATATTATAACTTCTATATTAGTGTAAAATAAACAATAATATGTAATCAAAACTCTTACTTGTGCAATTGTGCACAAATGCTCCTCTCTCCTATTCCTATCATTTTGAAATTTTTTGCAAAAGCAGCATTTTATGTTTCCTAAGCATCCTTTACGGAACAGTCTCAGGGTGATTTAAAAATAGAAGCTTCGTGGCACTCCAAGGAAGATTATACGCTGTAGGTTTCTATGAGGAAAGCACAATCAAAAAGATGTGAGTTAAATAACGCCAGGGGAGAATAATAATCAAGTGAGGAACACATAGTTTGTGATGATTACCTTGCCAGTGGAACAGAGAATTTGGCTGCTGCACTGGACGATGTGAGAAGCCATAGCTGAAGTGGCATGATTTTTAAGCAGATTAGGGTTTGTGGAACATGTAATAGAACATTCCTTATTCAGGAAAATGAGGAATATCTGTCTGATTCTCATGAAACCTGGATGTCCCACACATTTTCCTGGGCTGCCATTCCCTTTCTCATTGTTCATGTCTTCAAATTACATGTTATTGCTTTAATTATGTTATTAATAGAGTGGAAAGTGAGCAGGGATCAGTGTCTGTGAAAATCTTGGGAAGTGTTACACAGTTTAGCATTCTGGTTGAAGGGGAAAAAAAAAAACCCTTTATCAATGTGCAGAATATGTAACATTTCCCTTAGTATTTGGCTGGTAGTCTTTCTTAGAAGCCTGATGTCCGAACATCCAAGATCAATGCATTCAGGAGAATAACTGAACCTTAATATAATTAGGAAAGTTCACAGCTCGGTAAAGACTGGTGAGGAAATGAAGACACAGGAGGCTGACTTGAGCTGGTGATGCTCTTAGGAAGCTATCGCAGAAGCTGAGCCTTATTCCGGACAGCTTCTGGTAAGACGGTGGTTGGAGTAAACACATCTGCCTTTCCTCCCGATGAACAGCCCCAAGTTATCCAAAATGATAGCGCTCATTTTGCTGGGTAAGTGAACTGTGTTTCTGGTTTATCCATATTCAATACAATATCAATTCTTTGGAAACCAAATGCCATGCCCTTTAACCCAAGTAATCGGGTATTATAATATAAAGTACCAACTGCATTGCAAATTTACACTTAAATACATAATTTTACACTTACATATGTTATTACTCTTGCAAAATGTGCACTCGCTTTCACTTATTTCTAACTTTATAGAAAATACATACTATGATAATTGCATTATTCTCTGTTCTCTCAGGTTCCTTCTGTGTTAGTATATAAAATAATCCAATGACTCTAAGTTATTTTTTAGGATTTATGAAATTCACCTATGTGCTAGAAATTTTTAGAATGACATTTCCAGAACATATTTACGAGTTATATCATATTTCAAAATATTATCTATTGTATCTGTTTTTCTTTGAAATTAAATAAAAATAATATTAATCGCAACTACCAGATTCCCCTAAAGTGTTAATATTTACTAAGTCAGACTCCTTTATTAGACTACTACCAACATCATATCAAATGCTTCACAATTTTGATCAATTTTTTGAACTAAAAATAGATTTATTTCTCTTATATTAGATACTATAAAGTCATTGTAAATGCTGGTGAACAAATTTATTTGCTTCTAACATAGAATTCATGAAAATCTCATTGCTAGATGTGTGATAGGAGAAACTTTTATACCTTCTTCAAGATTTGGTAAAATTTATAACTTGAATTCAGTAAAAGGGGCAGTTGTGATTGTAGCTCAAGATTAACAAAAAAAACAAGATATTTTCTATTTAAGCTGATATCCATTGATGAATAAAGGCATAACTCTGGGCAAGAAAAAGGATTATTTTAAATTGTGTTGAACATAAAAGAAGAGTCAAAATAAGTTAAAAAAACGAAGTGAAAATGAAAGGAATCTTTTATGTATTTTCAGTTTCTCTCTGATTTAAATATAATAATTGTTCTTCAATGTCCTAAAAATTTTCCTTACTATATTTATTTCTAAATATTTTTCTCCATTTTGAATTTCTTTAATAAATATTTTTACATCTATTTTTTCTTATAAAGAGAAATCTAGAGACTTTAAATTTTGTAGATTGTAGATCAGGCAGAGAAAGGACACAGAGTACATAAAGGTATTACAACCTCATGTCTCCAGCTGAAAAGTCATGGCCTTTTACTTTAACCTTTTAATTCCTACTTAACCTTGACAATAAACTGCATGGAGGGAAATCATTTCTCACATTGTTGGGACCCAAACTGTACTACGTGATAGTCTGCAGTAACATTTGCCATATGTATTCTTCACAATATTTGCTCAGTATCATCTGAATAGGTCTTGTAAGGAGAGACATTTCTGTTGCCAAAGAAATATGAAAAACAGTGAAATTTTACAACTCAGAACATTTAATTGACTAATGAGCCTCAGAAATCTTTAGGAAGGTCATATAAGATGCAGCATTCTTCACCTTATTAATTTAAAAATAGAACCTGTTTTTAGCCAAGTGTTATGCTGGAAACACATAGTCCCAGCTATTCAGGAGCTGAGGCAAGAGGCTCAATTGAGCCTAAGAGTTTGAAGTTGCTGTGACCTATGACACCCCAGGACTCTACCTAGGGCAACAGCCTGAGAATTTGTCTAAAAATTAAAAAAAAGAAAGAACGAAAAGATAGAATCTGTTTTTCACTGAGTATTTCAGGAGAATCTTTGAAAAAGTCGTATGTTGATTTTAGAGTCACAGATCACAGTCAGAAATAAATAAGGCAAATTTTGGAAAGGTAAAGTTATAATTTTTGTTCTTTCTCAGTTGATTCCATATTTTGTCTGAGTGAAAGGTATAGGAAATTATGTAAACCTAATCAATCAGGTGGATTACTCAATCAAAAATAGAAACAGTGACAGGAAGTGAAACATACATAGAAAGGATATGTAGATTTCACAAATAGTCACTGAGTTACCAGGGATATTTTGATGGTACTGACATTAGCAAACTGATATTAGCTTCATCAATTACCTCCTGGAAACTATCACTTACAAGGTTTTGAGACAGCTTTTATAAAATATAATGAGTGCTGGCAAATAAAATGCCAGCTTCCTATAAATTGAATTTATGACACAAAATCCCTTATTTGGGATCTTTAGTAAACTGATTTTGACCAAGCAACTTCGGCCACAATAGGAAGAGCACTCCTTTCCTTTCTCTGGACCTGACAAATTAGAAGCACAGGAGCTTGGCTAGGTGAAGTTTTCCATGAACACATGAAAAAACAGAAAGGTGATATGTCAGTTTTCACTCCAGCCTCAATGAGAAAAATGTGATCAAGCCCCTCCCAGGGGCCTAGTCTCCAAATGCAGCGACCCAGCAAGTGGTACACCTGGGCCTATCAGTAGACTTAAATTTTACTTAGGAGATGAGGTTTGGAGAGAGGTAAGATCAAATAAAAGATTTCAAGACTGTCCTTGAAGTCTATAACCACATTGTCATAGGTGATTCACAATTAATGTCATCTTTTAAAGAATTCACATGACTTGGCTGTGATTAAGACATAGCTTGAGGTCTCTTGATTATAGTTAAGATAACTGTTTCTGTAACTAAATTGTGATTCTTACCTTTTTAATTAATTGATGACGCTAATGTCATTTTGCAGTATCAACTTGACTAATTTGTATAACATGTTCAATTACCATTGCTCGTTTCTTTATTGTTTTTAGAAAACTTGCTGGACAGTTTGCCTTCCAACAAAAATAACTTGTAAATACCTGGAAGGTGTTATTTTATTTATATATTATCTGTTACTTATATATCACTAATCCTTAAACAACTAATATGTTTGGCATAAGTCAACTTACATTTATTGAATACTTATAATGCATCATTGTATTTGACGATGGAAATACACTTATAAATTACCCCCAACGCCTGCCTAGGAAAGCCCTAAAACTCAGTGGTTAATCTGAGCACATGAATGCACAGACTACAGAACAGTAAATAACATACTTTGGGGATCCCCAAAGTTCTATATAAACAGATGAGGAATTTCAAATTCAATCTGGGGATGGAAAAAGGAGGTACAGAATTCAGGGAAAGTTTCCTTAAAATAGGTAATGATTGTGTTGAGCATTGGAAAGATAAGAAATGTTATTAAGAAGAAAAAGAAAGGGAGCAGTTACCAAGGACAAGACAGTAAGTGCTCAGAGGTTTAAGGCAGCACGGAGTGTCTGGGAAACTAAATGTTTGAGAACGTCCAGATTGCACCTGGGGAGGAATGTGACAGCCATGATATGAGAAGTCACCTGTACACAGAGAAATGGCAGGGCCAGAATTGTGCTTCAGGTAGACTGGGAGGTGTAAAAACTCTATCTGAATAGAATTAGGAATAGGTTTCAAACTGGAGGCAAATTGACCAACTAATGAGTTAGTCCAATGTGCCAAGTGAAAGAATGAACTTTGCAAGGATGGCAACCTGGGAGAGAAGCTGAGCCTGGAAAAGGAGTCGGCCACGAACCCAAGGATTCTAGTTTGAGTGCCCTTGTCAAAGCTGTGATGCTGATAAAATAGAGTGGTTGGTTCATCAGGGAGCAATGACGATGAAGACGCTGTTGAAGATGGGGGAGGGAAGGGGAGGGGAGAAGGGTGGGTGGGTGGTGGGAGGGTGACTGGAAAGATCACCTATATGGTTTTGTCTAACAAGGGTAGAAGTGAACTTTTCTAGAACTAGAGTATAAATGTTTTAACACAATATATCTATGACTAGAGTACTAGAAATTTAAGGATTGAATTATACATTTACAAATCATCAGTCTAGAAATTTTAGCTCAAACCATGAGAGTACATGGAATTGTTCTCAGAGATGGGAATGGTCTGAGGACAGAACCTAAGTTAAAAATATTCTTTAGAAGAGGAGTAAGAGAAGATTTGGGGAAGAATTCTGACCAGAGCCAGAAAATACTCAGAGGATAAATATGAAGAGAACTGGCAGGATGTGTTGCCAAAGGAAAAGAGAGTTTCAAGAACAGAAACATGCCCAATGGTAGAAGTAGGTGAGTTAAAAATTTATAACTATTAAATATGACGTTAGGATGTTAATGAGCAGTTTCAATAGACCAATAGTCATAAAAATAAATTCTAAATTGAGGAATGAGTGAGTAGTGAGAAAACAAGAAAGCAAACGTAATCTATTCATTTAGGAATCTTGTCTAGGAGAACTATAATTTTATAGCCGGGGGAGGTTAAGATTCATCCCAGACTTACAGTAATTTTATCACATTTTATTTTCCATATTTTGTTCTTTATTATTAATAACTTAAACTTGGGTAAAATCGCTTCCAAACTATAACATAGCAAAAAAAAAATGGTTGTTTTTTTTTTCAAGCTATGGGGCTGAGCTTGGAAGATGAATACACTTCCGAAAACAAGGACTGCACATATTTAAGAGAGCAATGTCTGCGTGACACAAATGGATGTAAAGTTGCATGGGAAGTAATGGAAGATGCCTGTGATGATTCTGGTAAAACTCATTGCTGAATGTATTTTCTGTTCTTAAAATATATATCTCATTATATTTCAACTGAGGCAAGAAAAAATTACATAATACATTTATTTTTAACTTGTCTTACGTTTCAAACATTTGTGGGAGGATCATGAAGCAAAGAATGTGAAGATAAGAGAGTGACTTGTATATGTTTAAAGAGAAAAAAAGTTGTGGTGAATATTCAAGGAGCTGGAAGAATGTTGAATGAAAACACCAGACATGTGGGAGGAATCCATTCACTAAAATAGATAGCAATCACCATTGACACAGCTGGACGTTCTCCTAAATAATGCCATCACAAAACTGTTCACAAAATAGTATTTTAAGTTTTTTTTTTTTTTTTTCCTGCAGTTTTTGGCTGGGGCTAGGTTTGAACCCACCACCTCCAGCATATGGAGCTAGCGCCCTACTCCTTTGAGCCACAGGCGCTGCCCCTCAAAATAGTACTTTAATGTAATAAGTTGTATCATCTTATGTTATGAATATTATTATACTCCAAATAATCTGATAAACTTTCTGGGATATTCAGTAAGAGAAATCCAAGTGAGAAAATAAAAAAATATTCTATGATTCACTCTTTCTCCATCCATTTCAGGAAGGGTAAATTCTGTCACTGCTCATGACTCTTGCCTGTCTTCATGTGATTCCTTTATCTCCCAAAATATGTAAGGTGGAATACGTTGGGTCAAGAGGGAGAAGTCTATAAGTCTGACAGTGCCAGTGTACAGAACCTCCACCAACAGGGCCCCTGCCCAGTGACGTGACCTCAGGAAATTGCACAGGCCGTGGAGGAAGCAGAGAAAGCTCCCCCACCCCTTCTCTACCCTGTGCAAGTTCATGGGAGACTCAGATTCACTCTCCCAGGAAAGTTAGAGCTCGCTACTCCAACATTCATATTATTGCTCAGAAAAAGGAATTCCAAAGATGTAATTTCTCCAAGTAACACAATAATTTTAAGATGAGGATAAAGGATGAAAAAATTATTTGTTATTTGTTTTGATGATAAAACCTCTTAACTATGTTTATAAGCCAATTTACAATGTGTAGTTAAATATTACATTTAGCGTGTTATGAATTATAATGTATTTGTGAATTTCAGTGTACAAATAACAAAACATTCGCAGTCAATTGCAATAAGATTTGCATAATTATTCCATGTGTAAAGCTGAACTAGAAATATTCTTAAATGTGCAAATGAAACAAACTCAAGTAGTTTTTTTCAGAATATTGAATAAAATTTTAAATGGCTTTTAAAATTAAAGCAGAAAGTAAAATATGGGTAATTAGGACAGACACATTCATTTAATATCAAGTTCTTTCTCAACCACTTCATTTCTCATAAATTTAGAACCACCTGCACATCTCTTATTATAACCCTAGATTGGAGTGTGAAATACAACATCAGATTAAGACAAAATAGCTCATAAAACAAATAAGCAGATACAATAGCTACATTTAGGGAGCATTCTGGTTTCTTTGCGTAAAGGCAGATTTAATTATTATGGATAAAAAAAATTGATATTCCAGGTAGGTACAAAGATATTTTAAAACACAGAAAGTTTTATTCTGCTTTAGGAAGTACTCTATTGAAAAAATACAGTAAAGTAGATGCTTTGCTTCAAATGTCACTTATATGGACGTCCTGCAGCAATCCCAGATAATCTTACATACTAATGAATTGCTCAGGTTAATATGGTAAAGCATTTTAAAAAGAAGGGGGGCTCAAAATTATAATCAGATTAATATCAGGAGTGTTAATATATTTGATTATGAAATCCAGGTGACCCCTGTAAGATGAAGAATTCATCCCACTGTGATGAGGGTATCCAGTTCTTTGTGGAAAGCAATTTCCAATTTAAAGAGTGTCTCTGCACTGGTGACCTCCACTGTACTGTGAACAAATTGCTTGGGAAGAAATGCATCAATAAATCAGGTAATGCTTTGTTATAAGAAATGTTTATGACTATCAAAAAGAGAATTACAATTTTAAAATTACTCATATCTATGTGATTCAATCAATTCTTTTTAGAGGGTAATTTAATTCTTGATGTGACTTGGGGGTACAGAAAGTTTGTAACACATTTTTAAAAATTTCTAATCACAAGTTTAAGCTTCATTTGAGTCATTAGAATTATAAATTCACACCTCCAATACATATAGCTGAGAGGCTTATTTTCGTATCGTTGCACAATACTTAAGTTATAGAAGACAAAAGAGATATAATCTTTGTTGTTCAGGAAATGTGAGTCTTCCGGGAGAGACCAAAATACAACTAATTTCCTAGAGTTACTCTTACCTTTGCAAGGGACATTTAATCTGGATAATGCTGAAATAGTAGCAATCGAATTAGTCAGCATGTACCCTTGAGAGCACCCAAAGAATTTTGAAAAGACATGGGACCAAGTAGTTCTAAAGTGGACATTTTTCAGATTCTCAGTGTCCCTATCTGCTTCCTGAAAAGTGATCAACAGAGAATGCACCTGTTACCATTGAGTCTCACCTTTTCTTTCACTATCAACCTCCCACCTACTAAAGGTAGATTTAGGCCTGGCAGAATGGCTTGTGTCTGTAATCCCAGAACTCAGGGAGGCCAAGGTGGGTGGACTGCCTGAGCTCAGGAGTTTGAGACCAGCCTGAGCAAGAACAAGACCCCATCTCTAAAAGTAGAAGGACACACTATGGCAGGTGCCTGTAGTCCCAGCTACTCGGAAGCGTGAGACAGGAGAATCACTTGAGCCCAAGAGTTTGAGATTACTATAAGCTATGATGCCATGGCACTCTACCAAGGGTGACAAAGTAAGACTCTGTCTCAGAAAATAAAACAAAATAAATAAAATAAAATGTAGATTTACTCATCTACATTAGAGGGTCCTGTTGTCCAATCATTCATGGTGGGCTCATTGAACATTTTTCTGTTCCATTGTTTTGTCTTTTCCAGAATTTCAATAAATTGAATTATGTAGCATGCGACTTTTTGAGTCCAATTTCTTTTATTTAACATAAATACATTTTACATTCATCAATTTTGCATGTCTAAGTTTGTTCTTTTTGCTTCATAAGTAGTATTAAATCATATGGGTATACCAGAAATTGGTTATCTGTTCATCATTGAAAATAATTTGCATTATTTCTAGAGTTTTAGAGATTATTTTTTAAAAGCTTCTATAAATATTCACATACATAATTGACACAGACATATGTTTTTATTTCTTTGGGGTATGATATTGAGGGGTCATATGATATGTGCCTGTTTAACTTCATAAAAATTACCAATGATTTGTATTTAATAAAACTATCAATGTCTACAAATTCCATTTCCTTCAATTCTCAGCAGCACTTCATCTTTTTTTTTTTTTTTACCATTTTGATATATGTATATATATATTTTACTTTTTAATTTCCAATTGGTTATGGCTAGCATAAAGAAATATAACTGAGGTTTTTGTAAGGCTCTAATATATTGAGACTTGTTAAACTCAACTGTTAGTTCTAGTATATTTTGCAGAATTTACAGGATTTTTCACATAGATAGCTTTGTCATCTATTTATTTGTCCTTTTGCAAACTGAAGCCCTTTATTTCTTTTTCTTGCTCTATTATCCTGACTTGGGCTTCCAGTATAATGCTAAGTAGAATTGTTGAAAGTGGACATCTTGCCTCTTTACTTACCTTAGGGAAGAAAATATTCAGTTTTTAACCATAAAGAGCCTGTAGTATGTTCTATGCTGGTTCTCTTTATCAGGATGAGGACATTTCTTTCTATTTCTGGATTACTTAGATTTTGTTTTAAATCAGGAATAGCTAAATGATGATTTTTGCAATTTCTTTGTCTCTATTTCCATTAGAGCATTTTCTTGTGTTGACAACATGTTAATTCTTCCATTTTGAAACATATGATAAATTATTAACTATAGTTTCCCCACTGTATTATATTAAACTTAGATTTTCCACCTAACGATATGTTTCTCTATCCATTAACTGACTCCTCTTTATCCCACCCCTCCATTACCCTTCCCGGCATGATCACGTTTTTAAATTTACTTCTCATGTGGACAAGTTCATTAAAATTTTGAACATTGATCCAGCTCTACATTTCATGGCCAAATCTTGCTCAATCACAATGTATTATTCTTTTGACATGTTGCTGGATTAAAATTGCTCTTATTTTGTTGATGGATGTCTTTTCTTGTAGGATATCAGCATGTTCTTTTTCTTTGTAATGGATTTAGTTTTGTTATCTGGTAATGCTGGCCCTTCTAATTGGGAAGTATTTTCTTCCTTTTAATCTTCTTGAATGAGATATAAATAATTGGTATTGTTTCTTCCTTAAATGTTTGATTTAATTAGTTAGTGATTGATTTAACGAATGGTACCAAAAAGTGAAGTATGTTTGTACAGGTCCAAAAAAGTGTGCAAAAACTATATGCTGAAAACTAATCAATAAAAGTTTTTCTTATGTGGTTTATTTAATAGCTGGGTCAAATTTCACTATAAGGAATGAAAATATAAATTCAATGTGTTTATAATTGTATTAAGACTATTCGAGTTATCTGTTTCTTTGAGGGTGAAGTTTGGTACTTTACATCTTCCATTTATCAGATTAATGTAGGTTTTTTATTTTTAGAGTTTTCCTTTTACTCTTTTAATTTTGTTTCTGTATTGAAACAAAGCCCCCCCTAGTATTCTCTAATTTCCCTTTGTTAGTGTCCATAGGAGCTATAGTGATGACTTTACTTTTATTTAGAGGCTGGTAATTTTTGCTATCACTTTCTTGCTTTCTTTTACTTTCTCCTTTTCAATTGTGCTCTTAATTGTTTCTTTTTGTGCATGTTTCGCTTGACTTTAAGGTGCTCCCAATTTTCTAGCTGCTTAAAATGAAAGTGCGGATCATTCCTTTGAGATCTTTTTTCCTCATATAAGCATTTAATACAAGGAATTTCCTTCTAAGTACTGGTTTAGATACATTCATAAATTTTGATATATTTTTATCTTATTTTGTATTCAACTCAAAATATTTTCTCTTTTCCCTTATAGCTTCCTCTTTGACCCATGGTTTATTTAGAAGGTTGCTGTTTTATTTCTGAATATCTGGGATTTCTGGGATATATTTGCTATTGATTTCTAGTTTAATTCCAATGTCATTAACAAAATTTTTGTATGATCTTAACTCTTAATTAAAATAATAATTGCCAGCTATCACATGGGCAATGTGATGCATTCTAGGGATAAGTCTTCATACACACAAAGTGAGATCACAGAGAAAAGATAATGACTTGGTATTTTAGGATGCGTTGGGTTCATTGCAGAGACAAAATAAAATGGGTGTTGTAAACAAAGGAAATTGAACAAAAAACAGTACATTTGAGGAGCAACAAATCCTTTGTTAAGCTGAATTGTAGACAGAGAAGTCTTTTCAATTACGCAGGAATGAAACTAGATGTTTACAAAAAGGAGGAAAGCTGAACTTACATATCTTTCTAAGGAGATTAGACTTTTACTGTTGTTATGAGGAGCTACTATATATTTTAAACAGAGGAATGAAGAATCAGCTTTTGAAAAGATAACACTGGCAGTAATGTAGAGGATGGAATGGAGGGGAGAGAAAGACACAGGCCAGGGATATCAATTAAGAAGTCATCAAAGTAATTTGGGTGAGAGGTGATGCATGCGCAAACTAACACATTTGTTCTGACTGTTATAATTAGAAGCCATATTTAAGATGTATTTATGAATTATAATCAATAGGAATTGGTGACCAGTTAGATGTAAGGAGAATGAACTGTATTAAACATTATTTCCAGGTTGGCTTGGGACAACAGTATCACTGTAAACTGAGATAAGAAATAAAGAAAAAAGTACAGGATTGAGAACAGAAGGGGTGAGTTGTATTTTGGAAACATGACATCTGAGGCATGCTTAGGAACATTCTGGTTATAAACATTGGGTTTGGGTTTTTTTTGTTTGTTTCTCATGATAAAAAAATAATAATTAAAAAAATTAAAAACAAACAAAAACCCAGAAAAGAAAACAAAACAAGAAAGGCATGCTTTTTCAAGCTAGTTTACAGAAGCAGGAATTTTTGAGTTGAAGAGAGAAATGTATTTAGAGATACAGCTTTTGGAGTCAAAGGCTCACCAGGAGATAAAAACATAAAAGAGAGTGAGATTGGACAGGGAAAGATATAAAGTGAAAGGAAAAGTATTTTAAGACCAATTTTATGATCTGGTTGGGAAAAAGGCATGAGGAAATTTCTGAGGAAATTTCTGAGGAAATTTCTGAGTTTCTAAGAAAAGAAACTACAGAAAGAATTTTTGAAGCCAATACATAGAGGACATGAAGAAAATACTCAACAATTACAAATGTTGAGAAATGAAATAAGATAGCACCTAACAACAGTGACATCAGTGCATTAATTAATATGGCTTTACTAGCTTTACATTTAAGCAGGCTGGAACATGTTAAAATGCTTATTTAAATATTGACTGAGCTTTTATTAAGATGATAAGATATTTCTATCTCAATGGCCATTTTTAATCATAACAAGTTTAAACAAAATATTTTAGCCAGTAATTATATACAAATTTAGATTAGTTAAATTGAAATCTGTTCACACACTAAAACCATTTTTCCACAATAGAAATTTAGTAAATGCTATATGGAAATATCAGCCAGCCAGGCTTATGGAAACTTACAATCAATGGAAGTTTCTTATGGACAAGATCTAAAGGACCTCACCATTAGACTTCACCTAACCTTGACATTATGTTTACAAAAAACATTTATTTGATTGCTCATGGCTCATGATCAATAGTGAGGAAAGTAATGATCATTGAATTTTTACCCTTAATTCTGTTTTAACTGCAGCATCCTCCACAAACCCTTTGACATCACTCCAAGCAAACATGATCTCCATCTACTTAGCATTTTCAAAACAATCTCTGCAAATATAGACTTACAATTTTCTATTTTTGAGATAATCAATTTTGTCATTTCATTTTTTTGTTTGTTTTAATGTGGTAAAGCACAAAAACATGATGCCTGACATATATCAATGGTAAATAATTGTATAACATAAATAAGTTCAATTCATTAAACATATTTTCAGCATCTAAGTAATGTATCCATCCATCAACTGTTTTTTAAAATTAATATTCAGAAATTATATAATCATTAGGGAATATAAAGATCATCATCAAAATGTACCAAGAAGACCAAAGTGATAAAGACAAAATATTTCCAAAGGTAATTGAACATTAAGACTATGTAGTTACATAAACTATAAATTTTCAATGTTTTGTCTCTCAGCTTTAAAAACCAAGATCATTTGTAATAGCTCTCAGAGTAATTTTTCAATGGTTTTTGAAAGATAAATATTGGAGTATTTATAGATAATAAGTCTATACTTTAAAAACATATTATAATGTCATAAATAAATAAATTTATATAAATTTCATTCATTTATTTTTTTACTTCCTTTATAGAGGAATCAACACTGTCCTCCAATTTGGCTTCACAGTCAAATAGCACCCAATGGTTCCATCACCAAGCTACATCATTAAGAGCTGACAAAAAGAGTAACTGTGCTATAGCAGCACGTGTCTGCCGGGAATCTGAACAGTGCATTTTGTTGTATGAGAATTTTAAGAAAACCTGTGGGAAGGAAGAAGACCAATGCAAGACTCCTGTTGGAGGCCAATTGTGTGCAGCACTAAGAGAAAGTCTGAAGGAAACAATTTTGGGGAACTGTCAATGTAGCAACCCGTCAAATGGAGACTGCATTCAAATTTGGGAAAGTTTGTTTAATAACACTTGTGTACAGGATACTCAAAGGAATCAAGTCCCAGACTTCCAAGCAGACCATGAAGATGGATTCAAGCAGATCATTGTTTCAGGTTGGGATTAACAAACAAGTACGTGGTGTCTTGGACCAGATTGGTAGCCGGGGGAATGATATCAGATTCTGGATATATTTTTATATTCATGGATTATTTAGAAGAAAAATGGAAGAGGTCCATAGACCTCTAAGATACTTCAACATTTACTGATAAGGGAGAAGTAGGGGAAGCAGCAAGGAAAGAATCTGCTAGAGATAGCATGAAACAGGGAAGCATGAAGAGAGTGTTTCAAGTAGAAGTGAAAGTGCAAGAGGATCGACTGATTTCACTGAGGAATTAAGGGTTAGCTACTGCGTTTGGTGGTGTGGAGGTTAGAGACAACCCTGATGACAACAGGTTCTGGGAAGGGCCAAGCACAATGGCAAGATTTGTAGTGGAATTTGGAGAGCACATTAAAAAAAAAAAAATAGGAGAGAAATTGGAGTCAGAAATATGGACAGCACTGTGAAAGATTATTGCTGTAGAGGGGATAGAAATAGGGCAATGCCTAGAGAAAGAAATGAAGAAATGGGAGTAAAGAGAAGAATTTTTTTTTTTTAAGATGGAAAAACTTAGGACTGTATGCTGATGAAAATAATTTAGATAGAATGCTAAACATTGATCATGCAGGGATTAAATGGTGAATAATATTCCTCCAATATTCTTTCACATGTGTTGATTGAATGATATTGGTGGAAATATTTAAAACACAGATAAAAGAACAAGGATTTTCCATGCCATTTTCCCAGCATTGCCCTCCAGCTTTAGGGGTTCTCATTTGAGGGCTCTCATCTAAAATATAAATTAAGATTATTGTAGGAGAATGATTAAGGAAGTGGTAAAACTCAAAACTTAGGGTAAATGCATAATGTCATGTGATATTTGAAATTGTGGCTATTAGAAGGAAAATTGAGGGCGATTATTGCTTTGATTTAGTTTGCATGATTATGTAATTTTTATTTGAGAAAACTCAACAGTATATATGTATGAGGAGGAAAATCACACAGTAAAATTTCATAGGGTTGCAATTTTCCTAAGGAAGCAGTAGGGGGAGGGGAAAAGAAGGGAATAACAATGACAGAAAACTCTTCATCCATTAGAATGTGTGAAGTAGGCTGGTCATTGTGTTCAGGAGTTAATTCAAAGAGGTGGAAAATATACAATAATGAAGGTTTTGGAGATATATATACGCAATTGAAGTGATCGAGAATATGAACTTTTTAGGAGAGGATAAGATAATTTGTATGTGCAGTTGTTAAAGATGTTCAAGACAACATCAGGTCTAGAAATTGATCATAGGCATGGCACAGGTGACTATTAGAGGGCTGTGGTGAATCAAATGTGAAATATAGATGGTAGGTTTGTATTTCCCTGAGGCATAGAAATAATCCTGTGCAATGATAGGATGGGAGGTGGAGGAAGATATTGAACTAGTACCAAAGTCAGTGATGAATATGGCCGAAAAACTCTGAGGAAGGCACAACCAGACAGCATAAAATTCAGAGAGGTGTTGTGTAAGAGTGAATAATTAATGTTTTGAAAGCTGCAAAGCTGACAAGGTCGACATAAACAGCCCTATTGCTACCATGGTGTGTTCTATACGCCAAATGAACACCATCCACTAGCAGACACTGTAGGAATTGGAGAAAAGCCAGGCCTGCAAAACATGAATTATAAAATTTAAATTAAAATATTTACATAAATTTAATTTTTGATACTATCATGTTAAGAGAGAGAAGTTTTGCGGAAATAGTTCTGAATCTAATATGAGATGTTAAAGTATATATTAGAGAATGTTGTGTATTCTTTGGTGGATTTGTATGTGGTTTTATAATTCAGATGTAAGTCTGGTTGGTGACTACTACTATTTATTTCAACATGTTACCCTTCAGCCAGCTCCTCTTTAGCAATTAAGCTACTGTTGAAAATATCCTCTGGGACATGTGTGTATGTGTGTGTTAGCTTATTTAGATATTAAATGCTAATTTTATGTGAAATTAGCAGTTAATGTGTGAATAATTTGTTATAACATATTATTCATAGTGCATAGAAGTGTAATACCACCCAAGATAGACTTTATTTTTCCACACTAAAAATTATGTTTTGTGGTATTGGTAATAATTACTCATATAGTGAGTGAATTAGTCTGGTCAGGCTGTTATAACAAGATCTCATAGGCTGGATGGCTTAAAAAGGAAATATATATATATATTCTCACAGTATTGGAGTATGGAAGTCTCAGGTCAAGGTCCAGCAAGGTCTACTTCTGATGAGGCCTCCTCTCTTCCTGATTTGTACATTGTCAGCCACTGTCTATGCTTTTACATGGCCTTTCCTCGATGTATGCTACAGAAGGGCCAGACAAAGAGAAAGAGAGAGAGGTCCTAGAAGGCCACTAACATCATGAAGGTCAAGACCCCACCCTTCCAACCTCACTTAACCTTAATTCCTTCCTTAGAAACATCACCTCTAAACATAGCCACACAGGGGCTTGGAATTCAACATATGAATTTGGGGAAGGAGGGGCACTCTCAGTCCATAACACTGAGCAAAGCCAGTGTTTACTGTATCTCCAGGTTCATTTCTTGAATATGTTTTAGTCAGTAGCATAGCCTTACCCATCGGTTCCCTACGTAGAGGTGATCATCCAGAACAAACTTTCTAGTTTGGACTCTTGTACCTGTTACAAAAGCTGTATGACTCACTAGGATATGTCTGTTTGGTTTTCATTCAACATGGGATAGTAACACAGAAATGGGAATGTCCAGGTCTTCCTCAAAGACACAGAAGGGTGGACTCAAAATGAAATAGTTGTTCTTAAGCTAAGACTTAATCAATAGCAATGAAATATCATATATAGTGAGAATAGAAAGGACAATATATGGAGTTTGAAAAGGACTCCTTTTGTGTCTCCTTTTGTGACAAAACTGGGGGTAAAAAGAATTTTCCTGTGATTGTATCATTTTCTATGTGCAATAGACTGGTAGGCCAGAACAGACAGCCTACATAAGGACAAATTGAAACAAGAGGGGACATTTGTACTATAACAAAAGTTAAAATTTGAATATCCCATGGTAGAAATTTAATTTTCATTGTAAAATGAAACTCTGACCATCCAATTCCCCTACCCCTTCATAAAATATCTTGTATTTTATTTTGGCTTTGGTTTGTTTATCTGTATTTCCCACCGAGCAGCGGGTGCTTGAGGACAAAGAATACAGCTTTGCATCCTCTGAATGTCACCTGGTCCATAGCAGGGATTCTCCCAATGTTCCTTGAAAAAAAGATTTTACAGACAGAAGGTCACCTGAATTCACTTCCCCTGATGAGATTTTCCAATTCTAAAATGATAATTTCTAAGAACTCTTGCAGGTGAGATAATCAGAGGTGGAAACAGTTTTTATATTGCATTTCAATCTAATTAAGATCCCACTGGGAGGGGATTTTGATGGGGAGAGTTCAGACAATATTTACTCTGTTTTCACTCTCTAGACAGGCCTTTGTTTACTTCAGGGTACATGTTCTAGTTGTTAGCATTTGTTTAAATATTCAAGTAACTGAATCCTTAGAGCAGAGCTGTTTAAGTCACTAGAATGATGTTTCAGAAGTTTGTTTTATTCATCTGTACTACACCGACTTTGACTATCCAGGCTTAAATAAGTGTTATATGAACTTGTGTGTTTTTGTTTGTCTACTTGTTCATAATGTGCCCCCACTTCTCCTAGGAAAATTATAAACTCATTCAATAATGAAATATTTCCTTTGTTGTACTTCTAGATAACATGAAGGAGGATGTGTTCAAATTGAATCCAACTCCTCTTTCCCATCACGGTAATGTTTATAAATTATACTTTTGATCTGGACTGTAAATACTACATGATACAATTGAAATTGTAGTCACCAGGCTTCTTAAAGGTATGCCAATACAACATAAATTGTATAGCCCTTGGAATACTACACGATGGATCAAAATCCTGACTTGTCTTCCACTAATGACATATCAATGTAACCACTCTGCCTACTCATCATCCATTTATCAATGAGTTAAGGAGAACCTTATAATTAAAAAAAAGATCTTGGTAACATTGCATGTGTATTTTTGATCACTTAAATCATTCCGGGCCAAATGGTTTTGTTTAAGCATGTAATGGAGGGTGGAAATTCACATATGCCCGTGTTTTCCAGAATGTAGACTTCATTATATGCAAGAGTATCTGTGGGGAGACTTTTTTCAAGAAAGCCTCCCACCATAATAAAAAGTACAACAGAATGAGAATCATTGTGCCTTGACTGATGAACTCACCATGTACCATTGTTCAAATGCAGTTTCTGAAGTTTTATTGTTTACTTTTGAGAAACCTGAATTAGGAGATTTTCCTTCAGCTCAGTTTCTGCCCTACAAGTTTCCCAGCCATCAAGATTACAGTACATATCCTGTGTAGATGAAGGATGATGTTAAGAGTCCTCTACACTGGCCTCAGTAAATTCATACTTACCCTAAAAAAAAAAAAGCGATGTTTGCCCCAAACAGCACATCGATACATCATTGTATTTTGCTTACAGACTTTTCACAGGGCTCTGCAGTCTCTGTGTGTTCGGGTTTGTGTTTACTTTTCCACCATCTGTGCATATCGTTGTTTGCAGGATTCGATGGGGCCTGGTCCTGTTTGGAAGTGGTAGAGGTGTGTGTAGAAGACGTGGTCTGTAATGCACAGTTGGCCCCTTATCTTAAAGCTTGCTCAGCAAATGGAAATCCGTGTGATGTGAAGCGTTGCCAAGCAGCCATACGGTTCTTCTATCAAAATACGCCTTTTAACATTGCCCAGATGTTGGCTTTTTGTGACTGCGCTCAATCTGATATACCTTGTCAGCAGTCCAAAGAAGCTCTTCACAGCAAGCCATGTGCAATGAACAGAGTTCCACCCCCTACTTGCCTCAATGTAATTCACAGCTGCCGAAATGATGAATTATGCAGGTGAGTAAAAACATGCATACCTTACTTTCTTATTTCGTCACCTTATTTGTTACAGTCCAGTCCCAACACTTGATCTCATTACATCAAGAGTTCCCACCATCATCCAACATGGTGTAAATAAAACCAGACAATTCATATTTTGAATCAATGGTACATGTGAAATTCACATTTTTTATTCTGGAATAAAAAATTCAATATGCCAAAATTTGGTAGTCATAAAATAGTATGAACAAAATCATGTATTCAAGGTAGGCTAATGAATTGGTTAACAGACCTGGATTATAGATCAAATTTTTAATTAGCTTTCTGGTGTGATTATACAGACTGTTAAATGTCACAGAATTTTGTCAAGGTGACTTTTCAAACTTCAGAATAAATCATTTCTGTATTAGTCTGGAGCTCAGGGAGAAGAAGGTAGCCTGAATGTAGTTTGGACTTCCCCAGCAGATGTGTAATCCATGAATATCAGAAATCTACTTGTCTCCTACACAACTTCACACCCCTCATTCTCAGAGAAGTAATGTCAGTCATCTATTTGTACACTGAGAAAACACATTGATCAAATACTTACTACGAGTCTAGGAAACAGCAAATCTGAAACACAAATACCTGTCCTGCGGGGAACAATAGGAAACGAAGTGAGAGATGTAAAGGGGTAGGCGTGGGTGAGCACAGGTGACCCAGGGCCTTAAATGACCCTGCATGGACTTCAGCTTTCACTCCAAATACAATGGAAAGGGAGCAGAATTATGAACTATCTGGTTTCCCTGATAAAACTTTCACTCTGGCTGATAACTGACGCTAGACTGTACCTTTCCATGTAACCATTTGGGGAGTCATAGTTTCAGTCCCTACTGACTCCTTTCTTCACTGAGGTCTTCATTAACACACTTTGTTCTGTGTTCAAGATGATGCTATCTTCTGTGTGGTCAGAATCCACAGTCAAGTGCAGCCTCTTGGGCAAGAGTGAAAGAAAACACAGGCTAGAATAACTCTGATGAGTCACAACTATGTGTAATATTGATGTCACTACATGGAAGAAGCTTTATTTAACAGCCAGCATTAAGTCATATAATTTTGATTCATCTTTTGCTTCTTTTTGGAGCTGTTCTTTACATTTATTAGCATCTCCAGTGCCCTCTACCAGAGACTGTTTTACTTAATTTGATAGAACTGAACAAAACTCCATATATATCAAATTCTTGTAAAGATCAAAGTATGCATTTTGTAGGGAGGAGTTGCTCGGTGTGTGATAGCTTAGGGCAAGATTTCTCATATTTGTCTTCTTGTTTCAACCACTGGCAAAGGACTACAAGATTTAATGACATCCGCCTCCTGAAGGTTCTTGGTAACCGCTTTCTTTTAGCTTTTTACTGTGGCCGCTCTCTTAATTTCAGTCATTCTAATGTGCAGAGTATATCCAGATCGTGTAAACATTTGTCAAAAAAAATAATGGCTTTTCTAAAATGCACATTCTCTGAAATAAAGGATCGACATCTAAACAGAGCATAGAGTGTTTACATATCATATCTCTTCAACTTCTCATCTAGGATGGCAACATTCTTTTTTTGCAGTTTTTGACTGGGGCTGGGTTTGAACCCGACACCTCCAACATACGGGGCCGGTGCCCTACTCCTTTGAGCCACAGGCGCTGCACTGATGTCAGCATTCTTAAGAAAATTTTATTCAAAGATCTTGTCATGAAAATGTATATCAGTTATTTTAAGGCTCACTAATTGCTTTTCTTGACTGAATAATAAAGGCATTAATAAAAGAATTTTATAATGCAATTTAGATTTTTTTCAAACTCATTTATCATCTCAAAAATTCTTATTAGAGACATACTGTATTTCATTGATTCTAAGATAAAATAATTTTTACACATTTAAACATCCTTTGACATTTTATTTAGAATGAATCTTAAGGTCAATGACATATTTAGAATGAGTCTAAAGGTCAATGACATACTTAGAATAAGTTTTAAAGTCAATGACAAGTAAGCACTGGCAGTAATTTAAGTAGTACCAATAAGTGGTTTTTGTTATACATAAAATCATGGAATCTCCCACATTCAAATGATGAACATTAAATTACACTACTTATCACAAATAAACTACCATCAATGGATCTAAGTATATTTCTACTTTATGTATCTATGTATCTATGTATCTATCTATCTATCTTTCTATCTATCTATCTATCTGTCATCTATTTACATTAACAATGAAAGGTTCATGCCAGGGTCAGAGAATACTATTTTTTTTTTTCAGTTTCAAAATGTTAAGGCACTACAAATGTTTTGGTTACATGGATAGCTTTTACAATCTTTTCAGGGCTCTTAGTGCACCCAACACTCAAATAGTGTTTAGTGTACCTGACAGGTAGGTTTCTACCTCACCTCCAACCTTCTTGATTTCCAATGACCTTCACTTCTCTCTGTGCCCATATTTGCCCATTTATTAGTTCCAAAATATTACAGAGTTCATGTAGTATTCGTTTTCCCAGTCCTGAGATATTTCACTTGTATAAGGCTCTCCAGGCTCATCAAAATTGCTGCAAAAGATGTTATTTCCTCTTTTTTTTGGGGGGGGAGGCTGTTTTTTAAAAGCAATCACGGCAAAAATACTGGTTGTATGCAAAAATACTGGTTGTATGCAAAAATACTGTTTGTGTCTTGAAGCACTCAACCTTCACAGGTATTTAATTGTCCTGAAGCACTCAACCTTCACAGCATGGCATTTCAGAGCCTCCATATCAAATACAATGTTTTAATGTCCAGTGGTGGGCCCTACTATTACACTCCTGGAGAATCCCTGTGATAACCTCTGAATCGCCTCACTCCTGCTTTAACCTCTTCTTGGTACAACTCCTTGTCAAATTGACTGGTACAGAGTTGGAGACTTTCCTCAGCAAAGACTCCAAAGTGTTTGGTTGGGGATCTGCAACAAGATAATCACTCAAAAAGTGTTATCTACTTCCCCTTCACTTTTGAATTCTGTGCACTCAGTTTTTGTGTTTTAATGTAAACATACACATCCTTTCTTATGTATTTTAAAATTTCTTAGATTAATTAAGAGAGTAAGTACTATGTGTCTTCAATTTCCTTTCAGGATGTGCAAATAGTTCTTTAATGAGTACATTATAGAGGTGATGGAAATATAATTTTATTCAACATTGGCAGCCAATATGAAAAGAGAAATCCTATCATTTTCCCAAAGACATTTTGTCTTAGGGAGATTTCCAGCATTTACATTAAATTATTGCCTATGTAACTCAGATGAAAAAAATCTTTAACTGGGAAACCACTTCTTTAGTGAGGATGAGAAGCACTTTATCACTTGCCTTTTGTCAGAAGAGCTTATACGTGAGCAAAGCAGGGCACTTTGTTTATAAAATACAATTTCTATCGCTGTTCCAGATTCCTCAATTCATGATGAGCTTTAGGATTCTTTTATTTTTTGAAAAATCCATAGAAGGCAGTATAAAGGAGCTTTCTCAATTAATTTTGTCAAAAATAGGAAGTGAGATTATATTTTGCCAATTTTATAAATAGTTATGAATTTGTAGAAAACCATAATATAATATGTGAACTCAAAAAGTAATTTAAACAGAGTTTGCTTAGAGAAAATTCTAATTACAGGTACCTTTTAAAAGCAAATTTCCACAATGCACTTATTTATTTAGCATCATGAGATATTTACAAGATGTGGCTATATATCAGGTTACAAAGGTAAATGGAAAACATTCTATGTACAGAAATTCCACAGGGCACATTTTCTTACCTTTTGCAATGTAAGTGGAAATTAAAAGCCAAAAGGAAATGAAAATACAATCCTTAATTATCATAAAAAATTATTTTAGATACTTCATTGTTTGAACAATAAACCTAAATTAAAATTGCAAAATGGAAAGGAAAGACAGCTAAATAAAACACTGTAGCCTCAAAATATTTCAAACCTAAATTAAAATTTTTACTATCAATTTTTTTGCCAAATTTAAACTTCTTAATTTCAATTGATTGCGGTATCTAGTATACTAAAGTGTGTTTTAAAAATTTGTAATTAAATATTCTTTTCTTTAAATGATTGATTCAACTATATCTTGTTTTTACTATGGGGGTACAATTTTTTAGTCACATGAATTGCTTTTGTACAAAGTTTTAAGTGTGCCCATCCCCTGGGTGGTACGTATTGTACCCACTAGGGTTAAATTTACCCATCCCTCCTTCTGCTCCACCTCCACTTGCCTTCTTTCCATTAAGTTTTACTCACAAATGTATACGTCGGTGTTGATTGATTAGTTTCAGTTAAATAGTGAGTACATGTTGTGATTTTTTTACCCCATCTCGAGATACTTCACTTCAAAGAATGGTCTCCAGTTGCATGAAGGTTGTTATAAAAGGTATCAGTTCACTATTTTTTTGGCTGAGTAGTACTCCTTGGCATACACATACCACATTTTACTCATTCAGCCATATATTGATGGGCATTGAGTGATTTTACATTATTATGATTGTCAACTTTGCTGTCATAAATATTCCAGTGGGTGAGCCTGTTCGGTATAATGACTTTTTTTTTTCCTTTAATTAAATACCCAGTAATGGGTTGCTGTGTCAAATGGTAGGTCTATTTTTAGTTCTTTAGTTCTTTAGTTCTCCATACTACTTTCCATACCAGTTTTCAGCCCTACCCTCAGTATATGTATGTAAGTGTTCCTTTCTCTCCACATCCACATCAGCGTCTGTTGTTTTGGGAGTTTTTGATAAAAGCCGTTCTCAATAAGTGAGGTCATCTACTGTGCACAATGCAATGGTATATTTCAAAACTATTAAGAATAGAGTATAAATGTATTACCACACAAATAATGGTTATGGTGATGGTTATGTTAATCAGTTTGATGTAAGCATTCCACATGGTATATCAGATCAGCCCATTGTACTCCATAAGTGTACACAGTTATGATTTATTTTTAAAAAAGTCTTTCTCAGTGGAGTTAGGTGATACCTCATTGTGGTTTTAATTTATATTTTCATGATGATTAGAGACATTAAACATGTTTTCATATGTTTATTGGTCATTAATCTAATTAATTTTTGATGGATAACAGACTTAAACCTAAGGCACGAGACTATAAGAGTTCTAGAAGAAACTGTTGAAAAATTCATAGATATCAGCCTAGGCAAATGATTTATGAAGACTTCAAAGGCAATCACTGCAACAAAAATAAATAAATGGGACTGGATTAAATTTAAAAGTTCTGGACAGGCAAGAAAACAATCAGTAGAGCAAAAACACAACCTATAAAATGGGAGAAAATATTTGCATGCCATACATTCAATAAAGAGATGATAATCAAAATCTATAAAAAAATCAAATGCATGAGGATAAAAAATGAATTTAATATTTTTTATTTAACATTTTAGCAAAATTTTAGGATGTTTTAAGTATGAAATAACTTTGTTGAGTAGATAAATCATGAACTTACTAAAACACACTTTTTTTTTTTTTTACCATTTTTGGCCAGGGCTGGGTTTGAACCTGCCACTTCTGGCATATGGGGCCGTGCCCTACTCCTTGAGCCACAGGCACTGCCCCAGTAAAACACATTTAATAAAGACTAAATGGCATCTAGACATAGATTTATTCCCTAACTACCTTCTAAATGAGAATCAGTGCTTTCAAAACTTACGCGTATATGACATCTTGTATATGTATATGTCTTAATTGCATTAAAGGAACATATTTGTTCTTTTGGCCCCAGAGTTATATGTTAAGAAATACGTAATATTTTCTTACTATAAATTGTAGTATATACCAATGAATTTTCATTATATTAAATTTGCATACATTTAAATAATATAATACATTTGAATATATGAGACTTCTATAGATTTCATTATATTTTCAAATTTAATAATTTATAAAACTATAAACTTAGTAATGCTAATAAATATAACTTCATTATATTAAAAAGGACTTAAATATGAGATTATTAAAAACAATGTGCTTGACTAAATATGAACAAGTAAGTTCGTGACAAGTGTTAGGTACTCACAGGGCTTTCATGCATGTTTGATGGTAACATATTACTTTGGAAGATTAATATTCTTGATTTCATTAATAAGAATATATTCTTACTGAGAAAATAAAAAAGTTATAGTATATTAACCAGATCTTTATTCAAAGCTATTGCAGTAAGAATAAAACCCATAATCAGAAAAGTTATGAATAGATACAGTTCTAATGGATTACTCTCATGGCCATTTAATAAGCTCATAACGTTTTGCTTTGCATTAGCTTTTGTCGCCAGAGAACCTCAAAGCATATTGAAATTCCAATTAGGCTGCTTAGAAATGTTGAGAACATGTACAGCACCTCCCATCCTACAGGAAGACCCACTTGAAAAGTCAAAGGTGTTATTTGAAATGCTTGGTGTGAGACGGTGGCCAAATGCTAGCCACAAAGCTACATCCAGCTTACAAATTGCTAAGAAAACTTTCAAGTAGTTCATACTGCAAATCATCACCAATTGAAATAAAATCAGTAATTAAAAAGAATCCATCCAGAGACTCCCAAACATAGTTTTGTCTTGCATCACAAAAGGACAATAATTCACAAACTTCCTCTACTTTTTCTTCCACGTTTCCAATTGGGAAATTAGAATGGAAACATTTAGTTCTTAACTATATACTGGCATGCAGGAGGTCTTTTGTTTTCTATCAGTCTTTCATTAGGTGAGAAAGCACGTGTTAAGTGAAATATGTTATTCAGGGGCTAATTCCCTTTCCTCACCGTTTATCTAGGAGGCGCTATAGTACATTTCAGTCAAAATGCTGGCAGCGAGTGATGAGAAAGTGCCATGAAGATGAGACCTGCTTTAGGACCTTAAGCAAACGGGACCTCACCTGCTCAGGAAGTGATGACTGCAAAGCTGCTTACATAGGCACCCTCGGGACTGTCCTTCAAGCACAGTGCACCTGTAGGAACATTAGACAAAGTGAAGAATCTTTGTGCAAGATTTTCCAGCATATGCTTCATAGAAAATCATGTTTCAGTAAGTTCCCCAAATAAAATTCTTTCACTCCCCTTCTCTGTCTCCCCACATATACAACACAGTCATATGCATGTGTATCATGGTTTTGACTATTCTGTATAAAGAGGTAATCCCGAACAGAAAGTTTGTTCGCAAAGATATTTTTGCGTTTGCTATTGCATTTGAAAATCCATTTTCTGATTGTCTTCTGCATATTTACTATCTCACTCACTTAGCAGAAAGTAGTACAATTTTTAAAAATGTTTATGATAAATTACGCTTACTTATCATTTATTGATTTCGATGTCAATGGTACAGAAGGCTTATCCTATCTGATAACTGGATATATCAGGTATCTATTATTGTTAAGTAACAACCCCAAAGTAAATGGCTTAACACAGTCGCCATTCCTTTGCTCAAGATTCTGCACACTGGGCTGGACTCAGCTGAATGGCTCCTCTTGTGTTGTATGGAATCACTCATGTTGCTATCTGGTAGCTCTTTTTTTTTTAAATTTTTATTTATTTTGTATTAAATCATAGTTGTGCACATTAATGCTATCATGGGGTACAGTGTGTTGTTTCTATATACAATCGAAATACTTTCATCCAACTGGTTAACATAGCCTTCATGTCATTTTCTTAGTTAATGTGTTAAGACATTTATATTCTACATTTAGAAAGATTCACATATACCCTTTTAGGATAAGCCATAGGTGTCATCCCACCAATCACCCTCCCTCCACCCATCCTCTCCCCTCCCTTTCCCCTTTCCCCATATTCTTGGGCTAAAGTTGGGTTATAGCTTTCATATGAAAGCTACAAATTAGCTTCATAATAGGGTTGAGTACATTACATAATAGGGTTGAGCACTTTTTCTTCCATTCTTGAGATACTTTGCTAAGAAGAACATTTTCCAGCTCCATCCATGTAAACATGAAGGAGGTAAAGTCTCCATCTTTCTTAATGGCTGCATAGTATTCCATGGTGTACATATACCACAATTTACTGATCCATTCATGGGTCGATGGGCACTTGGGCTTCTTCCATGACCTAGCAATTATGAATTGAGCTGCAGTGAACATTCTGGTACAAATATCTTTATCTGGTAGCTCTTAGTGAGGCTGAAAACACTGAGATACTGTAGAGCATGCACTGTTGGCTGGGATGTTGTGGCTCTCTTTCTGTGGCATCTTCAGCAGTACATCCTGGAAATTTTCCATGGCAGCAGCAAAGTTCCTAGTGGCTAAGCCCCAGTGAACAGGTATTTTTCAAGTCTCAGCTATTGTCACATTTGTAACTATTTCACTGGACAAAGCAAATCACATAGCAAACCTCAGAGTCACTGTGGGAGAGGACAGGGCTGTGGATATTCCAGATGGGATTTATCAGAGGTCATGAATTTAACATTCTGCTATACATGGCTGCCCTAGCCTATGTACAATATGTTCAGTCTTTAATTTAGTCCTTCTCTTCTCAGTCTTTAACATATCCACCCATGAACCATTTTAATATAATGATGATGTGGAAAACATTTTCTGAAGTTACTGTTTATTTTACAGATGAGAATGTGTACTTAGGAATTTAATGCATGTTCTTTGTGTACTGTCTTCTATCTTTGTCTAGAGTCTCTAAGTGAGCAATGGCCAACAGGAATTTTCTATGAGTCTAATAGAACACGTATATTTAAGTTTAATTGCATTTGACTTTCATGGTGTTTGGCTATGGTAACAAGAAATAAAAACTATTTATGTAATGGCAGTGGAAATGAACATAGATAGACCTTAAAGTAATATATGAATGTTTTAAGAAAATGAAAATTCAAAACTTTTCTTCAGTGGCATAGCAATACTAAAGTTTTGCCTTTAAATATTGCCTACTAAAACTAGGAATTTCAAATGACAGGATTATAGAATTAAATCAATCTCAGAGGCCTTTGGTCACAGTTTTCAGTATAGTTGTTTCTTGGTATCAGTGGGGGATTGGCTCCAGAACTGTCTGGATAACAAAACATGTTCATGTTTGAATCTTTTATATGCTATGCTATAATATTTGCATGTGGCCTAAGCATATCCTCAACATATATTTTAAATCATCTCCAATGTGCATTTCCTCACCACCTAACCATAAAGACAATTTTGTATACTCCAGGTTTATATTATGGCAGTATCCGTATTTTAAGGTGCCAAGTTTTATGTAGGCCAGCAGTTCTCAACCTGTGGGTTGCAACCAATGAAAATACATCCCACATATCAGATATTTACATTATTGTTCATAACAGTAGCAGAATTACAGTTATGAAATAGCAATAAAAATAATTTTATGGTTAGGGGTCATCACAACATGAGTAACTGTATTAAAAGGTCACCATATTAGGAAGGTTGAGAACCACTAATATAGGCTAAGATGTCACTAGCTTCTATAACTTATGACACCTCAAATATCAGTAGACCAAAACAAGAATTAATTTCACTCTTACATAAAATATAATTACCTAGGGAAGGGGAGGAATGGAGTGTGGGAGTTAGAGGAATTTAGGTGTTGCACAGGTATTTAGTGATTCCAAATTCTTCCACTGTGTGGTTTTGCCCTCTTCAAAGTTCAAAGATGACTATTCGCTGAAAAGATGCCAAAAAAAATTGCTGTGGGGACTTTTACAGGCCCATCAAATGTATTGTACATATATTTATCTGTGGGGAAGCCGAAAATGTAAGTTTAGCTCTATATCTGGTAGAAAGGAAAAGTGACTTCACTGAACAGTTAGCCAGTCTCTGCCACCACATCCCCAATAAAACCTATAAACTGTCCTCCTAAAACTTTTCATATTTAATTATTACTCTAGTTAACAGGGTGCTAGAAGCCTTCAAATCATCTTTGAATGTGGCAATTATAAATGGAACAAAGTGTAAAAAAAAACTTGCGTGTAGTCGCTTCTTTGGGCATATGTAAAGAAGAGGAAGAGTCAATAGTCAGTACAAAGATGTGGAGTTGAGTAGTCTTCTAATTCAGGTAACTGGACTTTGCTCCTTTGGGGACCTAGATGCTTTGAGAGATGTATTGCAAAACTGTTGTCATTAAAGAAGGGAAAGAACTTAACCTTTGGATCCTCACTTCTCTGGGATGGCCCCTGAGCCTTGATTCCCAGAGACTTGCGTTTAGTGTGTTCGTGGATGCTGAGTGGAGGCTCGTGTACATGTCATGCTGTAGTGGCAGAAAAGCACTGCAGAGGGAAGGTGTGAGGTCCAAGATGAGCTCTCAGATTGCAGATGCATGAAGGCAGAGCAGGCATTTGGGGAAGCATTTTGATGTTAAGAAAGGAAGACAAATCCACATCCTGAGTAGACATGAATTCCTTTAGGGAAACTTCACTGCTTCTTTCAAGTAGAAGCGTTGTTGTATCATCAATCTGCCACCAACCTGCCAAAGTAAGGGCTCAGTACAGGTCTCTGGCACTGCTTGGAGGGCTATCATTCAGCACTGGCAGAACCTTGATAAGTCAGCCTACAGAGAGGGAATGCATTCTGTTGGGCCCACACATGGCTGCCATCCTTGTCACCATAGCTAATCTCTTCATGCGCATTGCATAAGCATGGGGTGGCTGAGGAGAGGTCCTTACCCACCTGCACTGGATAAATTGCTAGTTTATCTGGCCATAAAGGGCTTTCTCTGTAGGAGGCACTCTCTGCTAGGCATTAATCTGAGATACAAAAATCTGCCCACTTTGAGTCACCACCATATGTCCTTTCACAACCCTTTCTCCTTTCTTTTTTTTACAATCTTCCAAGTTTATTCTTTTGCCTCTCTTACCAATCAATGTGCCAATGACCATGAATTTTACTTCTAGCCACTTTTCTTACCATATCAAAAGAATAGTCAGGAGCTCATACTCTTCCTGTGGAAAGGATTTACCTTCACCATTGTCCTCTAGGATCACTGCTAAGTGGGCATGTGGTATGGAAGCTGTCCATTTATAGCAAGCACTGAGACACTGGGATCACCCTCCTGAGAACCGATAACTTCATGTATCTGATAATACCCAGTAGGAGCAACGGTTTCAAATGTCTAATAGTCCCCTACAATGGACAGCATGGCCTTGCTTCCCAACTCAAGGAATATAATTCTTTTATTATATATTTATAAACATTCTGCCTTTAAAGCCATTGTTTTGTCTCTGGATTCAGAACAGAATCATTGGGTCACTGAGTTTCTTTTGTTTGATGCTTTACAAAGAACATCTACATTTTAGGGGGTTATTTCTTATGTTCTGTTTTTCCCTCAAATTTATTTTCCAAAAATTGACATATAAAATTGTAGGGATTTTTCATGCATAATGTTTTGAAGTATGTATACATCGTGAAATATTTAAATCTAATTAACAAATATATTACCTCACATATTGAACATTTTTATGAGGAAAGCCATCTCTCTTAGAATTTCCAACAATATAATAAATCATCACTAACTACAGTCACCAAGTGATACAAGATCTCTTGAACTTACTCCTCCTGTCTAACTATAATTATTCATTCTTTGACCTACATTTCCCCAGCCTATAGTAACCACCATTTCACTCTCTTCATCTGTGAGATCAAGTTTTTTCAATCCCATATGTGGTTAAGATCATGTTGTATTTATCTTTCTGTGCTGAGCTTATTTCACATAACATAATGTCCTCCATGTTTAGCTGGATTTTTTGTAAACAGCAATATTTTCTTCTTTTTCTGTTCTTTCTTTCTTTCTTTTTTTTTTTTTTTTTTTTTTGAGACAAAATCTCACTGTGTCATGCTGGTTAGAGTGCTGTAGTGTCTTAGCTCACAGCAACCTCAAACTCTTGAGGATTACTCAAGAAATCCTCTTGCCTCAGCCTCCTGAATTGCTGGGACTACAGGCACCTACCACAATGCCTGGCTAGTTTTTCTATTTGAAGTAGAGATGGGGTTTGCTCTGCACAGGCTGGTCTTGAACTCCTGAGCTCAAGTAATCCACTTGCCTAGGCCTCCCAGAGTGGTAAGATTTCAGGTG